TGCTATAATTAAACCTAAGAAGTCACATCAAAGAATAGTTGTAACAAAAGTGCTGAAAAATAATGACTTTAGGTAAGTCTATTTCTAGAGAGCACAAAGATTTATGGCGGGTTCAAACAACCTAGTTTTCAGTCTATATCCATCCTTCACACAACACAAATAATGTTCATGAAAAAGAAAATGAGCATTTTGCAATGTTCCATAAAAAATAAATTAGCCCTTCCTGGGAAAGAAATGCCGTACATCCTTATCCCATGCAATGTCTCAGAGCTTTGCCCTAATGCCACTGGGGTTATATGGCACAAAAATCCAACCAATAGTGTAAAGAAAAGTTTTTCAATCCATAAGCCTCACTATTTCCCCAAAACACATAGGAATTGCAAACTCTAACTTCAAGTCTCTTTCAGTGCCTCACATCATACATTTTGCTTATTTATCTCTTGCCAGAATAAAGACACAATATGAAATATATATATGCAAATAAATATATATATCTAATTATTTTAAAACAAATATAATTCTTTGGCTCAGCACTGGCTCAACTTTAGCCAATATCCACAGAGGACATTTATTTAGCTGCTTTTATGGGTTTCAGAGGTAACTGATCCCTCAATTGCCAGTAGCTTAAGAAGGTGTGGTTAAAAATGCCTTCCTGCTCTCTGATTTTAAAAATACAATTCAGACCTACAGAATCACAAAAAACAAACAAACAAATACACAAAAACAATCCAAGTATATCTTCATACAATGCCAATGTCTGGAAAAAGCAGCATATTTTCCATTTACTAGTTATTCCTAATAATTACTATTAACACCACCGCTAACATAAGTAAGCATTTCTATAATTTTCACAGAAAATGTTAACCTGTAAATTCTTTCAATAATTTGTTTCTGCTTTATGTTAGCCCACCACAATAGTCACCTCTTGGTGATCTCTGCTAATTCATATTTCATTCTGATGTATGTGACACATTGATTTAAACAACAGACTTGACTTCCCAGTAGGTTTGCTTTTTTACTTTCTAGTTTCAGGGTATTTGTTGTTTCTTTGTACTGTATTGTTAAGTCTTTTCAGAATTTATTTTCTGCACTAACTGTTTAATGGGAGACAATGTTTCTAAGCCCGCATAAAGCCAGTCTCAGATGAGAAACTATTTATGGACAATCTACAAGACAGGTAATTTTCAGGTCAGGATGCAAGAGTTGACTGCAAATAAACTATCAAAGTCACTTAGCTCCTGACACTTTGGATACAAATTCTTCTTCCAAGATACTGATGATACCAAATAAGTAAAAAAACTTAGCTGCGAAACACAAACCAAAATCACACCAAAGCCTAACTACAAGTCAGCAACACCATGACCAGCAAATTCAAGACTATCCTTCCTGGACCACAGCAAGCATTCTTATTGGGTACAATATTTGCCTTACAGTTCTATTCTAGTGTCACTTGGTATTATCCATGGGCCTGGAAGGGGGATGGGGGAACTAGTCTTACTCTGGGTCGCCAGTCCTTTAGTATGTGCTGTTTTTCAAAGCATCCATCTGATGCCCTGGGATTAATTGATATACCCATAAATAATCATGTTTTCTTAATCTTATATGTATCAACACACTTATTTATGAAGAAGATACTGCAAGAAATTGGGACTGCTATGGAAACAGAAAACTGAGTCAGAAATAAAACTAATTCACAGTCTTATTTTTAATTTACATTTCAGAAGTACATAGTCCCATTTACTGCAAAAATAGCTCTGCTCCCTTCCATCTTGAACACAAACAACTTCAGCAAATAGGAGTACTGATCTCATTCTAGAAAAGTAGGGTTGTCTTCTAACCTGCAGTGGTTACATTGATCTGGAGGACCACATGCTTTAAGTCAAGTTTCTTGTCAGGCAGGAAAACCAAGAGGTACCTTTTGTCCACACCAAATGTCCCTTGGAGAATTCAGAATGACTTTTGGGTCAGGAAGATTTCCTGGAACAGGCCCCTTGTCACTGAATGACAACCCGTAATCATTCTAAACTGTATCAATAAAAAAAAATACAAAAAGGGATGTTACACTCTGCCTGGTGCACATGAGCACATCACCCCATGTTCATTTAAAAATGTAAACCAAATCTAGGTTTATTTCCCACATTATCTAAGAATAGTTACAATGTTAGTGCTGAGGATGTATAACAATGCTGCAAATCAACAATGGAGACCACCATTTCTGACATTTGGAGCATGGGGGCGCTACTGTTTATGATTCTGATGTGATTAAAAATAATTTTCCTGATTAATGTTAATTTTTTAAAAATTATAAATAAACACATATATATGTACATATATACATATATACACATATATATATATATATATATAAACTCAGCATACGTCCCTCAGATATGTCTTATTCATATATTGGATTCTATTTCAGCACATGCTTAATGAAGAGATTTTCACAAAGCTTTAGCAATCCTGTTTAAAACAAATTTGACAAGGAAAGCAGTAGCACTTGCAAAACACTACATGTGTCTAAGCATAAAATGAATTCCCCAGCACAGGTCGGAACACTCTGTTTACTGACAAGACTGTACGTTAACAAAGCAAGAAATCAAAATGTTTACTTACCAACTTTCACCATATGTATTCAACTGGAGTCTGAGAAGTTATTTAAGTGAATCCCTTCCTTTTAGAAGTTGTTAGAATAAATAGCTTCAAAATACATCCTATTCATTTAGCTCCTGTTCTAAAAACTCAAACTTCTACCTCTGCATTTCACCTAACAGTAAGGTTTTGAACTATTTTTGTTCTTATTACTTAACTATTAATTGAATATCCTTTGACTTGCAGGCATATGGAGCCCCTTTTTGGAAGTTCTAGTTCCACAGCATCATTTTAAAGAAAACCCTGCTTTAGTGCCTGTTTTTGCTACTAGAAAGAAATCTGAAGAGGACTTTTGCTTTTATGAGCCTGTAGCATTTGCTTTGCATCAGCCATTCTAGAGGCAGCCGCAGTCTTAGCAGTAAGAGTGGCACTGCCATTCTGCTTCCCCCAGAACTACTTTCTATGGGCTGTTCATTTTACTATTCCTGCTTTTACAATATGGCAGTGTTTTATTAGGTCTCTGTGTTATTTGGTATGATTTGGTGGGCTATCATTTGGGCCTAGAACTCAAAAGTTGGTTCATAATTAATAGTAATTCCTTCTTTGATTTATGCCATTTCAACTTCAGAAAGGTTTCATGGGAATGTTCTACTTCCACATAGCAGGGGAAACCTGTACTTAGAAAACAGCAAGCTTTCTTCAACTCCACATAGAATTTTGGTATTGGAAGGAATCAAGTGATAATGCAGTCCAACAACCTGACTCTCCACTTTAGAAAATTAAGAATCAAGGCTATGAAATGAAGCAACATGGTCAACAGGCCAGCTCTCTTGACTCCTTGACCAGTTGCCATTCTGCTGGCCCGCCACGAACTCTCCTTCATAGAAATTAAAAGGAATATTTAGTCTTCCTTTCTTCTCCACAACTGTTACGCATAACTATTTCCTTTCCAAGCATTTTCAAGAGAGAACAACGCATCCACCCTGAAAAGACTCTGAGTAGAATGACCCTCAAATACTGTACTTTTGGTAATGTTTATTATCATCTAAAAGCAGCTTCAGGGTCCCAGATCCAAGAATACAAATGTCTAAATAGGGGTCATTTCTCTTTTATCATAAATCCAAATGTGCATGGTTGCCCCTAAGACACAGTTTGTAACTAAATCAGTTACAAATAGTCCCTGGAAGCTTATTTCTCAGCATCAGTCTTTTACAAATGATTCTAAAGCACTTTGCCTCATTTTGATTTTTGAAAAAAAGCTGTAAACCTACAGCCACACTGATAAATTTACCTTCACACATTCTCTGTACGATAAGTGTTCCATACAGAAGTGCCCCCACACAAGTCTTGAGGGCTTAAAGGCCTTCTTCTCAGTGTAGAATCAAGATCCAGACATCCTAAATTAAATACATCTTGCAGGGGGGAAAAACATACATTTAATGATAAATTAATCATATTTATTTAGTCTGGAAGTGCACAACTGTCACTTTTTGACATTTTTACCCTTAAAAAATGGACAACGAAGGCAAACCCCAGAATCCCCAAATACTGTAGCTCTTGAATTCTCAGATCAATTAAATTTAATAGAACTTTTAAGATTAATAAAGGTGGTGTGTGGAAACAATAAAATACATTTATTTCCCCTTTCAAACACAGCCAAATAATTACTACTATAGAATGTTCAATAATGCTGGAGAGCATTTAAACTGTTTTAAAACACAATTTAACCTAGGTGGGCACAGCAAATGACACATGATACTCTGACCACAGAGTCAACATTTTACACCGTGAAATGCCCGGGAATATTCCCCTGAAGAAGAAACCTCAGCCATTATTCAGTGATAAGAAAATCAATTTCTTGATCTACACAATATCATAATAAAGCAAATGTAACTTATGGGGTCTAACTCTCTTTTGCTCCCAGAGGAAGATTAAGCAATTTAGATACATTAGGCATTGTATGGAACTTGGCGTTTTAGTTTTTACTTGTTCTCATTTGCTTTCCATGACAACTCTGTGATGTAACATGTGCTTTTTTAAATATGTGCTCTTTTTCACTAATAAAGGTATTGGGACCCAGAGATATTAAGTAACTTTTAAATGAATGGTGACTAACCCAAATAGTCTTACCCCTAATCTAATGCATGCTACACCTTTACTCCCAATCCAAAGTATATTAAAATGCCATCTTTGAAGTCTTATTACAAGATGCCATTTTCTTGTTTTGACAGTCTTTGTCCACTAGACACGTTTGGTCTAACTTTCAATCACCCTCCCTGCTTGCTATATTTTCTTTTCCAAAGGCCTTCTACGGAGGCATTTCTCTTAGGGGTGGGTAAGTGGTGGAAGAAGGGTGTGGCTTTGCTTTTAATCTTAACATTGGATTTTTTTTTTTTGAATTTCAAGTATTATTAAAAGTAAAATTCATATTTGTATCAAGTAATGGCTTGGGATTTAAAAGCCCAAGAAAAGCTATCCTCGGTCTCCCTCTCTCTCTTTTAAGTTCAGAGTTGTCAGTTGATTACGTACTGAAATACCTGATGGATGTTATAATTTTCCCTAACTTCAGGATAACCATTTGATAAACAGTAGACATTGAAGAAACATTGAAAAATGAAGTCTCTTATGTATTCTGTGTTTTCCCACCTATATCTCATATGGCTTCGCAATGCAAGACTGATCACTGTTTCTTCTCTAGAACACTTGCTGTAAGTTCAATGCAGTTATTATATGTGGCACACATTCCTTTAATAAAAAAGATGATGGTGATGCCAAAATCAAGTGTTTTGACACAACTCTTCTTTATATCAATTTTAGCAAATAGAATGCTAAATTCTGAGGTGAATTCCCCACATTCTGTCTTTATGTAGCTGCACAAAGAAATAAACTTAATAAATCTGGCATTTGTGTTGCACATTTAATAGAAAGCTCTTAAGCCATAATCACTGTAGCTGCTGGGCATCTTATTTCTTCAAGAATTCTTCAGTGCATGCATTAGCTTTGGTTAAGTTATTTTGGATTTAAAAGGCAGAAGAATATTTAAAATAGTATGATTTCAGAAGCATCATTGTAACAGACCAATTCCAAAAGATTCAGCTGCTGAATTTTACTTCATAGTCCCTTTGCAGATAAGTTATTTATATTGTAAAAGAGGTGGGCATCATGTACTGTTATCTGCGTGGCCATTAGTCTCACACAAAGAAAAGAAGAGAATAATAAAGTAAGACTAAGAAATCATTCTTCCAATGATTGTCATTGAACTGTTACATTAGTAAACATTCACAGTATGAAGTCTCTCTCAATCTCCAGCATATAAAGTAGTGCAAAGAAAAAAAAAATCCAGTCCCGTTATCTGTGAACAAAACTTGTTACATTTTATCCCATTTCATTTCTTCCACAATGTTAGGCATTTGCTGTCATATCTTCCCAAAATTAATAATAAAATATAATCAATTTCTAAAGGCCCCTGCAGCCTTTTTAAAAGTTAATTTCCAGTTAAAAATAAACTTTAATTAAATGCAAGATAAAATTGTGACCTATATTCTATTAAATAATTCACTTTCTTTTTTTTCTACACAGTAATTCTTACAATGTTTAAAAAACAACTATAGAATCCAAAGACATGAGATGCTATTAAAGCACTGATAAATGACTGTTCAAATTCATTAGTTCTTACATAGTAAATACTTCAAAATGCCAACTTTTTCCATCACTGCACAAATACCAACAATGTTGACAGTTTACTTACACATACACACACGCACACGCACACACACACACATACACACACACACATATTCTCTCCACAAAACCATCTTTACTTTTAACAACCTTTCCAGTTAATGTGCAAAATTCTTGCATTCTAGTAAAAAATATAGATTTGCTCCTATTTAAGCCTCCCTCTTCTCCGAGATGTATCATTTATTTGATATGCAATACAAGTTTAGTAACAATTATGTCATGTATAACCATTAAATGGCGTACTACTGTATGCATTGGATTCAATTGCATATTTCATTTTCATAACTGCACTCTATGCATAAATATATTTGGAGATGCTGGGGTAGGGGGTTGGGCAGTGGCAGGTGGAGATTGAGATTCACACATCGGTCTCCACTGCCTTCACATTAGAACAATTGTTTTTATCTGTCTCACTGTCATCTCCTTTTCCCTCACACTTCTCCTCCTTCCCACAGAGAGATTCCTTAACTCCTTCTTCCATCTCTAGATATTCTGACTTGTCCCCCAGGGAAGAAGAAGTAGAGCTCCGAAATTTCTTCAGTAAATTAGAAGGGAGGTATGGGCAACTGACTGCATTCTGTGTCAGCTGTGTCTGTTCCTCATTTTCAGTCTCTCTGTGGTAGAAATAGTTAAAGTTGGAGACAATCACTGGTACTGGCAAAGCAATGGTTAAGACACCCGCAATGGCACACAGGGACCCCACAATCTTGCCCCCCACAGTGATGGGCTTCATGTCCCCATAGCCCACAGTTGTCATGGTCACCACAGCCCACCAGAATGCATCTGGGATGCTTTGGAAGTGGGTAGTAGGTTCATCCGCCTCTGCAAAATACACAGCACTGGAAAACAGGATGACCCCAATGAAGAGGAAGAAGATCAGAAGGCCCAGTTCCCGCATGCTGGCTCTGAGGGTGTGGCCCAGGATCTGCAGGCCCTTGGAGTGCCTGGAGAGTTTGAAGATCCGAAATACTCGGACCAGACGAATGATCCTCAGGATGGCAAAGGACATGGCCTGCTGCTGCTGACCATTGCCACCCCCCTGTTGCTGGGCCAGGTCAGTGCCCAGTGTGATGAAGTAAGGCAAAATGGAGACAATGTCAATGATGTTCATGATGTTTTTGAAGAAAAGTGCCTGGCTGGGACAAGCAAAGCAGCGGACCACAAACTCAAAGGAAAACCAAACGATGCAGACTGTCTCCACAATGAAGAAAGGGTCGTTGAATATCGTGTGCCCTGAGCTCTCCGGGTGGGGAGTCGAGGTGTCATTCAACAACCCGCTGTGCCCACCCGCACTCATTGCCATGATGAGATCCCTGTCGTCCCTAAACTCAGGCAAGGTTTCCAGGCAGAAGATGACAATGGAGATCAAGATGACCAGGACAGAGACAATGGCTATGCCCCTGGCTGGACTGGAGCTCTCTGGATACTCAAAGAGAAGCCAAATTTGCTTCTTAAATTCATTCTCTGGCAAGGCCCTGTCCTCCTCCTCTCTCACAAAGCCCTCATCCTCCCGAAATTTGAGCAGGGCCTCCTCTCCCAACTGATAGAACTTCACCTCCTCCGTGAAGATATCAAAGGGGACGTTCACCGGCCTCTTCAGGCGGCCTCCTGACTGGTAATAATATAAGATGGCATCAAAGCTGGGCCGGTTCCTGTCAAAAAAATATTCGTTACGCAGAGGGTCAAAGTATTGAGTCCTCTTCTCAGGGTCTCCCAACAAGGTCTCTGGAAATTGGGCCAAAGTTTTCATCTGGGTCTCAAAGCGGAGGCCTGACACATTGATCACCACGCGCTCACAGCAGTCACTGTAGCGGACTGAACTGTAGCCACCGCCACCCCCATCGTCCTGAGGCAGCAGGTCTGTGTAGGAACATTCGTCGCCGTGGTCATCCTCACTGTAGTAGAACCTTCCCTCCTCTTCCTCCTCTTCTTCCTCCTCCTCCTCTTCTTCTTCTTCACTCAGCTCCCTCAGGATCTTCTCCTCAGAACCACTGGGCATCAGGTCAGAGCAATGAGGGAAGCTGCTCTGACGGTGATGGGCCTTCTTCTTCTCAGGCCGCTGTCGCCTCCTCCTCCGACTGCCCCGGCTGCTCTGAGGGTCATGCGAGGTACAGGCCCCGCGAGATTGGTGGTGGTGGTGGGAGCCCCCTCCTGAACCCCCACTGCCTTCAACCGCAGCTGTGGCTGCAGCAACAGCAGCAGCCGCAGCTGCCCTGGAGTGAGCGAGCCTCTCCCGCTCCCGGGCCCGGGCCTGGGCGGCATAACCATAAGGCATGTGACTGTTGCACCCTGAGCTCTCCGCACTCACCATTGCAACCTCCATGGTGGTGGTGTTAGGAAATGTCTGGTTCGGGTTGAGAAGCAGAAGAAAGAAAAAGAGGGCAGCTTCTTTTCTCACCAAATTAAGGTAAGTTTGGAATCCCTAAGCAGACTGCTTGGAAGACTAAGGATGTTTTCAGTCCAACTTTGCATTTTCTGTTTTTAAATCAGCACACCCGGTGCTCTAGCTTCCCAGGGATTCAGTGTTGCTCTCCGGTGCTTGACTGGTCTAGATAAACAGCCTAGCACTCACAAGCCTAAATCAGAAAACGTTAGGATCACCCAAACCCTTATGTTTTGGGGTGGATGTTCAAATTTGGAAATACATTTGGAATGTGATTGGTGATGATGCTGCAAGAGTCAAAGGCAACAAGTATCTGAAAGCCAGCAGTTGTCCCTACAAAATAGAGTATATGTTTCTGCCCCAGAAATGGTCCAAAGCTCAGTCCATCAAACTTAAGCAAAATGCAAATAAGCCTTTAGTCTTGACACTTGCCTTCTAGTGACAGCTTGACCCATGTTAACATGTGACTTGAAGCAAGTCCAGCCATGGCTGATCAAAGCCTGTCAGGATGATTCCAGACTCTCCGCTTAAGTTCATCACAGGTTTCCTGGACCCAGGGGCAATGCCAAGTTATCAACAGAGGCAAAGACCTTGGGAGGTAGAGAAGATGCAAGATGATGTGCCAGCAGGGGCAAACCCAGCTCTAAGTTCTCCATAGAAATCAAGGAAATGCACAGCATCCTTCAGCTAAAAACATGCAGAAGAAGCACTTCACCTAAAAAAGGACGGGAAACAAGCACAGGAGAAAAATAAAAAGAAGAATCAAATCACAAAGAGCAAACTGAGTGCTTCTTTCACAAACACTTCTTTCTCTTGTCCTCAAGCAAACCATACAAAACATCACCGGGTGACCATAAATTTCCAAGGCGTGTGGGGAAGATTGTTAAATCTTTTTTCTCACTAACCATCCTTCTTTCTTTCTTCTTTGGACATTATTTCAGTTCAGTCTAGTTTCATGGCAACTCAATTATGTTTCCTCTCTCCACTCTTGACCCACATGGTTCTTCCTTCAGTTCTCTCTTTCACTAATGCCAGGTCTTAATTCTCACTGTCGTGCTTTTCACGCCATGATAATAATGACAATATTTTACGGTTGCTTCCCTCATTCATTGATATCAAGGCATTTTTTAAAATTTCCACCCATAAAGAATTTCTGAATGTGGTGCCTCCCACCCCTCTCTGTCTTGATTCAGGATTAGAAAAAGGGGTGCGTGGAGGGCAGTTTTCTTTCATCCAGGCTCCACCACTGAAACAAACTTCAATCACCTCAAGTACAGAGTATAGACAATAATCCAACTTCCCCCATCCCACACTTGTATAAGGATTAAATGAATAATGAACTGAACGTAGATCCAACAGCATAGCTTGTATAAATAACGAATATCAATAAATGCTGGCAGTTCTTAATAACATGATAGTAACTTAAACTTTCTTGTCCATCTATCCACTCCTAAATGTGTGTGTCCCTTTGCCACTGTCTGAAGGAGGGAAACTATGAAGTGTGAGGATATCCAGGACATTTTGAGACTTACCAATGGCCTGAATTAAGTTGGCACTCTCTGAAGCATGTCCCTGTTGTTGTTTTTCTGTTCCCCAGACTCCAGAACACTCCCTCCCACCCACAACCTAGGAGCTAATCCCAATTTCCACATCTCTAATAATCATCATCTCTCCTTGCAGTTCCTCTGTGTTCACCACAGTGCTTTCTCTTATACCCTTCTCAAGGGACTATCTCCTTATGTTTTAAGTCCCAGTTCATGTGGATTTTGTTCTTAGCCTATCATACTTTCCCTCCTATAATCTCTTTCTCTAATCTCGCTCCCGACCCCGTCTCTGCCCGCCTTTAATTACAACCTCCAACTTCCTGATCACATCGTCCTTGCAGCCCTGCTCTGTCCTGACTGTGGCTTGGTATTCCTGGTCTTATTCTTTGGTTTTCTCCCACCAGATCCTCATAATTCATCTCCGCTGCCATGACCTAAAGAAGCTCCTGCCCCAATCTCTTGCTCTTGTTTCTTTCATTCACTATATCCATCAGGACTTCCAAGAATGTAGAGTGTCCCAGAGAATTGAGGAGGTGGATGACAATCAGAATTCAGGGCATCTACCAGCTTCTATTCCTGGAAGCACTTGGGGAACAGAAGAGAAATGGCTTTCTGGAGCCATTAACAAGATTCAGCTCTTAACCACCTGCTGCTTCTTGCAGAATAGTGTCACCCTAAAACACACCTGATTTTTTACGAAGTGACAAGCAATGTAGAGGCAAACAGTGAGCTTCCCAGTCTTGTACCTCTTCCCAATCATACAGTACCACAGGGCAAGAGGAGGGCTTGATGAGGACATAAAACCAGAAATTACATCTCTGAAGATATCTCAAACGACATCCTTCTTTCTTTGCCTGACTCCTGACATCATCTCATAATCTGAAATGAAAGAGTTGCACTTAGGTCTTCAAATCTCTATTTACGAAAACACCCTCTGGTTACATTCACTGTGGACAGTCAGCCCAACACCCTTTAAAGCCTTCTACAGGCTAAATAGCCTGAGAATTTGCTCAATTTCTTACCCAACTCCCTCAAAGGGAGTTTTAAATAAAGCCCCAGTGTGACCAAAGTACCTGTGTATTTATATACTACGCACACCCCTCTCCTGTCCAACTGATTCCCAGAAGGAGGTAAGAGGGTCTTCAAATTCACCATCAGCTCTGCAGAAAATGTAGACTTGTCCTCTTTCTGCACTACATTAAGCAATTATTTATTTATTTAGGTTTGTTAGTTTTTGTTTCTCTAACTCCCTCCTCCACACTACAAAAAAGCAAATTACCTTCCTTTTAATTGGCTACCAGTTACCTCACTAGTCCTGATCTTTAAAAAAAAAATGAAAAAAGAAAGAAAAAAATAAATAAAACACCCAGCCTACCACCTAGCAAAGCAGACTGGCTTCAAATATCTCTTCCTTCTCAAGGTATTCCTATTAGGAGAATCTATTCAAGCCGAATCAAGGAACCTTTTTTGGGGGGTGGGAGACCTGAGCAGGGAAATTTTCCTTCCTCTTGAATACCATTAAAAACTAATAGGGTTTTGCAGACTACCTAATTCCCCAATCCCTAAACCCCCAAACAACAGTCAAACATCCAGCCCCTCCTCCTCCACTCCCACTCTCCAACAACAAGGCTGCTATCTTTCTCAGAGCTAATTCCTGCAACTGTCTTAGGGTGGTACCTGAACCTAATCAGAGAAAGAGAGATTGAGAGAATCAGAAAGGCCAGCACCGCACCGTGAGAAATATGCACTTCAACGCACGCCATTTATTCTGTCCCTCTGTGCTGCTTAAATGCTGGGAAAATGCACGCAAATCCAAATGTTGGGAGAGGCAGGATTTCAAACCCGTTCGCCAGCTGTTCCCAAAGGAATGGAACCGGTGAGTCTGGGATGTGGCAAAACGATGCTAAGCCTCATCCCATCTCGTTGGGAACGACATCTTTAATAGCGCCCTCGCCTCCAGACCCAGGTTCCCGCTCCAGTACATTAAACAGGGCGCACGCACCCCAGACCCGGGGTTGGGAAAATAACAACTGCTGGCCCCCCAGAGCGCCGCGCAGCATCTGCACCTCCCTTCTCCCACCTCCTGGTTTATTTTTAACCGCCTTTCATTCATGCCCTTCTGTCACATTCCCGATATTATTTATCCCTCCAAGGTCCACTGTTTCTTAACAGCCAAAAGAGGAAAGTGGAGGAAGCATAACCGCGGTATCACACTTACCGTTTCCAGGCGGGGTGGGAAAAAAAAAAAAAAAAAAAAAAGAAAAGAAAAATCACCCGGTTGGTTTTTGTTTCCCCCCTCAAGCTGAAACAGCTGGAGGAGGGGAGAAAAGATCTTGAACATAGAAGGAATCACTCCGGCGTGGCAGGTGGCGACTCCAAAACATCCCCGGAACAAGTTCTGTCGCTGGCCCGGAGGGACACGGCGCCCGCTGCTGAAGCCTGGGGCAGGGGTTCGGGACAGCCCCTGGGAAGACCCCAAGATTCCTGGATCCTATTCAGGAGTTCAGCACAGAAAGGCTCGGCTGGGAAAGGAAGACGAGGTTCCCCAGAAAAAAAAGAAACAAAATCCTAGACAGCAGCGATCACTTGTTAAGCCCGAATTCCTCCTCCAGGATCCATCCCTCTCCCTCTCGCAGGCTGCAGGAGCCGCACACGCCTCCCCTGGCCGCGAACAGGCGCCGGCCGGGGGCGGGGCCAGGGCCGGGCGAGGGTGTGGCCTGCGCGGGTGGCCGGGGGCGCCTCCCCGCGCGGCCGGGCGGTGCAGTCACGACGCCGCCGCTGCGCTGCCCCGACGCCCAGGCTCTGGGGAGCGACTGGAAACCATCCATCAGCCCCCGACTGTCGCCCCCAGAGGCGGGGGCCCAGCCGCGGAGGGACAGGTGTCCACGTTGCAACTGAAACGCGGGTCCCGACGGCAGCGCGTGAACACCGAGAGGTTGGGCGGGGGAACCTGGACGGGAGGTCCAGCCTCAAGCACGGGGTGCTGCTGAGCATCTTTCCCTCTTCCCGACCCGCGTTCCTTATCCCCACCCGCGCCCAGAACCCTTCCCTCCAGACCTCCCTCCGCCGACGGGTTTGTGGGGTGTGGGTCCGGTACCTCTCGGGCGGGAGGTGGGTCTCTGCCTCCCCAGCACGGAGTTTGTTGGCCTCCACTTGGGAGTCCGACCGCCGGCGCGAGGAAGAAACCGACTTTAAACTTGTGTTCCATGGAGGGAGGGAGGGAGGGAGAGGCAGAAATTGGAATCAGGCCCAGGCTGAAGGCTGTGTACCGGAGACAGATGTCCGAGGGAAGAGCATCGAGCATCGGAAGGCTCTGGGCAGGCTGCAAGTCCCGCTAGGGGATGGAGAGGCTGGGAGCTTTGGACGGAGGGGCGGAGCCCTCTGTGAACCTGTTGCAGCAAAATATAATAACCCTTGGGATGCATTTTGCTCCTGGGAGGTAACACACACACACACACACACACACACACGCACAGCTGAGTGTGCCTGCAAAGGCATCTTCACTCTGCAGTTGGGGAGCTGCGATGGGATGGGGATTGGTGTGGAGGAGGGAGGGTTGCAGGTTGCTCATTAGGTGGCTGGCTTGTGAAATGTCCCTAGACATGCATGCAAATATGCAGTTTCCACAAATCCATCAAAAGAAAGGTAGTAGTGAGAAGTGTGAGTACACGCGTGCACACACACACACACACACACACACATACATATACAGAAGCTCTGGTGGAGGCCAGAGCTCTGGGTGCGTTTCCCCATGCCCCTGTTGGGTCAATCAAGCAAGCAGTGACTGCCAGCCCGGACTGGGGCTGCTGGAGCAATTCCGACTTTGGGCAGGTCATTTGGCGCCCAGGCAGCCACTGTCGTGCTCAGCTGGCAGCTTTGTTCAGGGCCCTGTTGGGCCTCCTGCTTTTGTGGTGCTCAATTAATTATTAAGAGAAATATTTCCGAGTTGAATTATAGATATGCCTTGTGCTCACTCACCTATGCGCTGCTGGCTGGGCAAAGGACATCTGGAAGACTGCTTTTCCTTGCTGGTTTTGTTTTGTTTGGTATGACCTTTTTAAAGAAATTTTAAAATCACATTGTAATCAGTGAAAGGAAAAGCAATGAAAGAATCCTGACCTGGGGCCTAGTTTTCCTAACTTCTTCCAGGTAGTGGGGTTTAAATAAATTTAACCTGTGATCCTCTGGCATCAAGCACAGATGGAAGAGCTGAGAAAATTCAAAGCCAACTCTAGAGAGACTATTTGCCTGAATTCATGCCCTATTATAGTTCATTCCTACAAGCAGAGCAGGTGGATTTCTCAAAAAAAGAGCATGTGCACTGGCCCACCATCCTCTGCACTTCTCAATGGTTATAGACCCTGTGTAGTTTCATACGTAACAAAAGCAGATAATTGAATGCATCAATGTCTCATCAGAAGATGTTTCTGGGAGAGCAGAAGGCAGGGCTGAGGGCATAGGATCTTGGGACTAACTTCCCAAAAGCAACTGGTGAGCACCATCTCTATCGACTGTACTATGCTTCCAGAAAGTTGAAAACTGATATTGAATGATGGAAAAAAAGTGACAGTTATATTGAAGCTTGAATATTTTAATTGAAACATGTTAAGATTTTATGAATTATACTTCCATGCGCCATTTACTATTAGTTCCTATCATGGCCCAAAGAATTTTAAAGATTAAAATACTTGAAGACTTTATAAATATTTGCACCTCTTCAGTACCAGTAATATGAATTACCAATGCATAGTAATAACATAGAAAAGCAGATGAATAAAGCTGAGGGAAACTACTCTTACAGAAATACTCATTCAGCTGATACAATAAATACTTATTGAGGACTTGAGGACTTGATCCACCCAGGGAAAGCTGAATGCTGCCTAGTACCCAGTTCTCTGCATGCAAATTGTCCAATTTTATTTGCATAACTAAACACTTTATGTGGTAGGTAGTACTATTATCATTATTTCATAAAGAAGGAAATTGAGGCTTACAAGGTCTAACTTGCTCAAAAGCTGTACAGCTTAATGATGTAGCAGAACTGGGTCTTAATGATGTAGCAGTATCTGACTGTGTGGCTGTGGACAAAACTCATGCTAGTGATGTTAATAATAATATGTTTATGCCCACTTGTCCTAGTGACTGTCACAGATGCACAGACATATTAGGAAGCAAGGGTGTGCATGCAATGATGGAGATACGAGAATGGTGTTTCTGGAGTGTCAAGAATGGCGCAGTGGCTAATTTGGGGAAGCAAGCAAAGATTGACGAGAAAAGGAGCGATGTGTTTTGGAGAGCAGTGAGAATTAGAGCAACTGCTGTGGCATTTGGCACTGGGGTGGACCAAGAATAACTGGAACCTGTAGACAGGTGGGTTCAACTGGGAAGAACATGTTCCAGGTCCAGTTAGACCTCTATCCTGCACGCACACACACACACACACATACACACGTACATGTGCATACACAAAACTCTTTGCTCTTTTAAATAATTTATTTTTAAAGCAAACAAATGTTTCCTTTCTCCCTGTGAAATCCTCTTAAAGAGCCCTAGGAACTCACACACATAAACAGTAGCAGAAAGATCCTTTGCTTGTTACCGACAAAATTCTATCTGCCTCACTCCTGAAATTCTATTGACTTTTGGGGAGAAAAAATTATTTTCTTGTCTTTCATAGTCAACAGTTAAAATTCTTTAAGCTCCCTACCCCCAAATACACCTATTACCACAAATAATTTATCCCAGACTTTGAATTCTCTCAGCAGCAGTACAAATGTTCCAGGGCACAATACTAAGTCTTTGTTTTTAAAGAAAGGGGCAAAGGGCAGCAGATCATCCTTTGTACAAAGCTGATAGGAGGCCCTGTGGTGTACAACTAAGTCCATTATAAATGTTTTTGTTCTCTTTGGGGACTATGGTCCCCTGTTAGTTGCAGTGTTCTGTTTACTCCTCCTCCCTCTCCCCAAGAAGTCTGCGACACTTCCCTGAAAACAGGCATTGTATCTCCAGCAACCAGGGCAATACCTGACCCAAAGTAGGAACTCGATAAGAACGTACTAAAATGAATGAATAAGGGAAGAGGCTTCCATTTGCCAAGAAAATTCAGTGAATATGTTGGGAAAGAACTGTAAGTTAGATTTCTTACCTGCTTACCCCATTTTCTCAACTATCTGACTTTTAAAGTTCTGAAGAGATGTGAGGGTGAAAAAGCCTTGGAAGACCTTGTAGGTTTCCCATTTCCAAATTTATGGATGCAGGTGTTCTGAGAAGCCAGGATCCTCTATAAAGTGAAAGTCACTCATCCATCTTATTCTTGTAGTTAGATTTTTCATTGACTGCTCACCACCACTTCCCATCTGTGCGCACCATGACTGTGTGCACCAGGACTGTTCCGATCTTCAAATATCAGAAAAGCATATTTACTTTTAGTTAATGTAAGGAGCCATGAACCCTGGAGAGAAAGGCTGACCATTTTCTGATTCTCTGTTCCCACTGTACAGACACAATGGGAGACAGACGATTGTTGCCTGCCTTAGGTGGATACCTGAGGCCTACAGATAAGTCAGCGAGCTCAGTGGTCAGGGCCTGAGAGATGTCAAGGCAGGGCAGAGAAACAACACCTAACTGAGGTTAGAAAGAAAGGTTCTCAAGGCGAAGGAGAAGGAGACACATGGCAAAGGCTTTTTGAACAAGAATGGCGTGTGTAAGGATACACAGAGAATCAAATATGGAATTGGAAAGGGAAGTAGTGAATTAGATTTACATGTGGCAAGCTCCAAGGTAATGGATCACAGGTGCTACGGTGGTGGGAGGACTATGGGACTACACCTCAGGGAGAAATCAAACACTGTCCAAAAAATAACAATGATGTAGGAAACAAAAGTACTTCATCTAAAAATAAACAAAAAATTATTAAACTAAATTAGGATTAAATATGCCATGCTCAAGAGTTCAAACTAGTGTTATGGTGAAACATGTATGAAAGTATTTTCAATTTTTTTTTTTTACCTCCTCAACTCAGCACAGATGTACTTCACATGCACAACACACTCCCCTGGGCAAACTCAAATTAGCAGCTGCAGCACGCACTAGAATGACTGAGTTACAAGCATTTTTAAGCTGCCTGGCTACAATAGCATCCCTTTGTCCTCTGTGAATGCTTCTCAGAAGTCAAGTGTGTGAAATTGAGATGGCATGACCTTCTATCATCTCAGGCTTAGTTTTTCAAAAGAAAAAT